TTAATATAAATATAATTCATAACATATAAAATTTTAATTTAATATTTTAAATAAATAAAAAGACTTGATTTTAAATTAAAAGTATAAAAATATCGCGGTTAGTGAAAAATAGATGATTAATGCTTAACTAGTACCATGAAAATTACCTTATCTCTTCTACTTTCTAAATTGCTTAAAATTAGTAAATGATTCTTCTTTTCAACGAAATTATTGTGTTAAATTCAAAAAATTGCGAAAGCAGCTTCTTGCACATCAAAACATTTCATTCTATATAGTATTAATATAATCGTTATAGTATTTCTTGAGTATACAATAACTTTCCTCAACAGTTCCCTTAATTCTTTGAATTCCCTCTAGTGAACGAGATTTGTTGAAGTTTCTGCCATTTTACACATTTTTCAAATCTTTTTTCGGTAAACTGTTTTTTCGGTACTAAAAGTTGGGTGGATACTAAATCTCAAAAGTAAAGAATATTGATTGCATAATTGATTGTTTAATTAAGGGAGATTTGCAATGTTGACTTCGTTCTACGGTACCTGTTAATTGTCTTCTTTGAATATCATTTTGAAACGAACCTTTTTCGCCAAAGAAATGAGAATTTCTTTGCAAAAGTAGGGATGTTAATTTCTAACTTTGCCTCAATGAGGAGTTAGTGGATTGTCTACAGAAATGTAAATGGCCATATGCTCTAATTGTATGTCACAGTTGAAACAGTCCATTACTAAAATATTTACTGACTTACTTAGCTGCCCTTTACAGATGTTAATCAGTCTCGCCGCGATCAGTAGCCTCCTTTAGTCAATCTGATTGGCTATCGCCAGTTGATAGTATCGAGTGCTTTCATATCATGAGTAACTTGGTCCTTTACCCAATAATTCGGATATTCGGTACATTCGTGATTTCCAACACCTTTTTAATTGTAGCATTTTAAACTGTTTGCAGCTTTCTTGACTTAGTCATGTCAGCGAAAATATTGAATTTTGAATAGGCTTGACTATGCGAATGTCGCGACTTAACACATACAGCTTATCATTCTGTCTAAAGTGATACTCGATCCCAAGTATACAAAGAATGTTTCTTATATCTTTTTACCCAACAATAATGACAGTCGTCCTAATCAAGATTCTGTACAAAACAGCAGAGCAACCATATTAAGAGAGTTGCGAAGCGTTATTTTTGTTTCTCGAGCGAAATCTTATCTATCAAGTTGTAATAATGTTCGAAATCCATCACTTTCCGCTTCTAAACGCATTGTGGTGAGATATACCTCACCATTTAAAAAAAAAGAGTAAGCTTAAAAACTTATCTATTTTCTATGAAAACGCATCCGTAGAAACTCACCGTACCGCCTATTGCTTGGTCTCTCGCGTGCTCTAATAGATCTGTATTTCTTTTGTGTACTGCAAAAATTCGTCAAAATTTTAGTTAACCATGACTTGTATACAAAATCCCTAACCGTGTCAAGGTTCTTCCCAAAACCAACTAATCTGAAGAAAGTAAAACCACTAAACTATGGGACATGCAACTATATGCAGAGAAACGATTTGATTCTCTATTCAGATGTTACTATGAACATATCTTATCTCGAGAATAATTCTACTTTTTTTGTACTTCTAATAATGATGGCCTGATGTCGACCAATTCTTCATTATTTTAATTAAGTTCACAAAGAATCCATATGCCCAACTGCACAATATGTAGGGTGTATAATCAAAAGATTGTAAATATTGCAACATACATGTAAGGAAATTAGAAAAGGACATTGTCGTATCCGTTATATTGTTATATGTGCTACTGATTTGTGTTTGTCAATGTCTTTAATTTTTTTACTGAGTTACATTAATACAATGGATACCACCAATTGTTCCCAGGACAGGACGTACAATATTAAATCTATAAAATTGCTTTGTATAGAAAGAATTATATGTGCATTCAGATACATTCACTGCACAATGGAATTATTATAGTATTGCAGATATCTTCATACAATTTGCAATTATTATATTGTTGGGTTACATACGTACATAGAAACAATAAATATTTAACTATAACGTGTAAAGATAAGTAAAAATAAAATAAATTTATTTATTTATTTCTCATTTATACAATAAAAATAAAATAAAAACATTTTATCAGCAACATTTCCTTTTTAAAAACAATTGCACAATTATTTATTGTTGACATATTGTTTGTCATATAATATTATATGTATATGTTTGTAAAGTATTGTATTTCATTCTTGATATATAAAAAAAAATTTTTTGCAAAAACAAATATGCTGGGAATAATTTTTTCAACGAACTCTAATTGATATATAAAAATTTCATATAAAAGACAACAACTGGAAAATATAAAGCATTTAAGCTTTTGTTGGTAAATTCATTTGTAAAAATGCAAACCAAATTGATTTAATATTTTCCTTTATACTCGGAAATTTCATTTTTTTGTCCTGCCATATATCTCAACAGGCCGCAACATCCTGTTGTACATTTCCGTATTGTCGCCTGCAACGACAATGTCTGTTAAGCTGTTGCAATGACAACAGGTGTCGTGTGTCTCTAATATCGAAGCCTATATTCTGTTGCAAAAATAATACAAAAATCCCTTAGCACTGATATTTCAATAAAAAGAGAAAAAAATTTGTTTACACAATCTGACATCGAACCACTCAATTTGCACAAAAGACTTGGACATATTGACATTATATCAATGGAGTAGCAGTCGCCATACATTGTCATAGTCAGGGTGCATATTGCATGAAGTAATCATCAACAATAGTGAATAGGAGTCATACTGTCATCGATGAAATGTGAAATACTCGTATGTTACCAATATTTTTTTTCTGGCATATTTTTTTCTATTTCAAATGAACTTTAAAATAAAAATGATGAAAATTAAAAACCTAAAACTGATTTGAAATTTATAGGAGGCCGTATGGATTGTAAAAAATGTACAACTTTAAGCTTCTTTAATATAATTATTTTTATATTCTAACAAACCAAATAACGTTTTTTTTGTATATATGTGCAGAATTGTATACATGCTATAGAAAATTAGCTGAGTATATAGAAAATAAAAGAAAACACGGCTGAATTATCGCAGGTCATCTTAACCACACACAGAAAACAGTGCCTGTTCTTCACATTTAGTAATTTTCAGTTATCTATAGCACAAAACAGCACTAAATACTTAGGAATTCTTTTAGTTAAACAGCTCACATGGAAAAAACACATATTTTCTTAAAGTATACAACTGACTAATATATATTGGCTAATAGACTGATACTTCAAATTGTACCTGGAAAATAAAGCACTCCTTTATAAAACCATTACAATACCCAATTGTGGAGCTCAGCTGCTAAGTCAAATATGGATATCATTTAACGTTTCGAATTAAAACTGCTTAGAACATAATCCCTCCGCCCGAATATGTCACTTATAATACCTTTCATCGGGGTTTCAACATGTGATTTGTGGCAGAACATATAGGAAGAAATGATATACTTTGTCTCACTCATCTTTAAGACCAATCCCAACACTTTAGCAAACGAGCTACTGCAGCCATCTAGATTCCTATTTCGGATGAAAAAATTTTAGTCCAATAAATTCCCGATTTATAGGTCATTTTGTATTATTTATATAAATAAACGAATATTAATTAGTTAGAATATGGAGAAACAGTATTGGCTATTAGCTGCACTCATTTCAATTTTAGGTCATGTTAAATTAAATAAATGGATTAATTTTAAAATAAAATATTTTGCACCTGCAAAATAGAAAAAGAGAAAATATTACCAAAAAAAACATTATTTACATTAGTCATTTTTATTGTTAAAACAATGTGAAAAACTAATACAACATGACCACATTACACAATAAATCTATCTCCCGCCAACATAGCCCAATAATCAACTCATACTACAATTGAAATTGGAACCATGAGAGTACAATGATACATCACTTTTGCAGTAACCTCCCTAAAAGGAATTCATTTCAAAAATTAAATACAGAGAGGTATTATTGTCTTTATTGAAAAAAATTGTGCCAGTTTTGGTACAAAAAACTTGCTATAAGTATGTGCCTAGGCACCTATTATAAATCTAGTCTTTAATATTTTATTATTAATTATAAAATATATTCTGCAATAACGTAACGCTGGAAATATATAAAATATATAAATATATTCAAATTTTATTTGTTTAAAAGTGAAAAAACCAAAAAAAAAGTTCGCAGCTACAAGTGCGAACTGTAGGCCCCGGCGAGATTCGAACTCACGATCTCCTGTTTACTAGACAGGCGCTTTAACCAACTAAGCCACGGCGCCCATGTGAGGTTTGTTGAACGAAATACTTACAGAAAAGTTTTGCCTTGAAAATAATTAGAGAAAATATTAGGGTTATAAAATAAAATCACCTAAATTTTTAAGATATGTTGATATGAAGGTCAATGCTATGTTAAAGATATATTTTTAATTTAAAATAGACATACATATATGAATATATATGTATATGTATAGAAATGATTAAATATTAGATAAAGTGCCATATTAAATACGAACAAAAAATTCTGACGTTTTCAGTTTTATGTGGCAATTCAATTAAATTTCTTATAATAAAATATTTTATATATATAATTTAATTTTTATCATATTATGAAATAATATTTTAAAAATTTTCATTTAATTGGGGATCAACTTTAAAATTATATTTTATTAAAAATCACACAAAATTCTTAAATTGGTTCCGACCTCAATTCTTTCTTCACAATATTAAATATTTGTCATACTTCTTCTATTAATACATAAACCTACATATGTACGTCTATATGCATTGCAAACACAAGATATTTCTAAATTGGAATGGGAACCACTTTGGGGATTTTTCGCAAAAGAACTGCATTAATATATGAGAATGAATGAGTAAATGTAAAAAAGAAACAAAGAAAGCAATAAAAATTATCATGGATATAAAAACTCAATTCAAATCTCAGAAATGCAACAGTTTCAAACTAACAGCGATAAAGACTACTTTAAAAATTTCTTTGGAAAACTTAAATATTATATCAAAAAATGAGTACAAATATTGGTGGCACAGTAACAACCGATCCAAGCGGTAAACAGAACATAAACGTGCAAGCAGCGCACACAATTGGCAGTGATAAGGCTAATCTAAGTGCTGGTGTCTTTGCTAGCGGTACTCCAGGCGGAAATGTTACTCATGGTGCATTCGCTGCTGCAAATACGTAAGTTATTGTGTTTTATGCAGATGTATTTTATAATTTCCATTTCTCCAAACTATATAAACAATAGCGATAAAGGCGGTATTGGCATACAACACTCAACAACTCCTGGTTTTGGTAAAACAATGTCAGAAAAAGCACATGTCAATCTATTCAAGAATGATCAACATGCTTTTAGTGCTACTGCGTCCCACAGTCGCACGCAGATGGAAAATGGCTTAAAATTTGATCGTGTAGGTGGTGGTACAAATTGGAATAGTGCACAAGGCCATGCTGCCTCAGTGGGTGTCACACATGTGCCACAATTCAATATGACCACATTAGATGCTGCTGCCAAAGCAAATCTTTGGACTTCACAAAATAAAGCCTCAACTTTCGATCTCAACGCGAATGCTAGTCGTCATTTGAATGGTCCATTTAAGGGACAAAATAACTTTGGTGCAGGTGTAGGGTTTACACATCGATTTTAGTTAACAGTACTACATTCGAGCAATTCAAGGATTTATATCCCTTATTAATGCTTACACAATTATCTAAATAATCGGTATACACTTTTAAATTACATATTAATAATAAAATACTCTTATTTAACAAATTAATGAACATATATTTACGAATAAAATTATTATATATAATTAAAATTCTGTACTCTGTTTTATTGACTATTACTATTGATTTACTATTATTTTTCATTAAAAAATTAATTGGAAAATATTGATGTTAATTTTACTATATAATAAACAGTTTCAAAACTGTTTGTACTATGTGGTATATGTCTATATATGTAAACTAAATATAGAAATACATACTCGTAAATTATATATATCTATATATATTATATATATATAGTCACATATTGACATATCGACATTGACTTCTAAGCGGGTGCCAAGAACTTTAGAGCGATCTTACATGTGATTTCTACAGCGATTATGCGGGAGAGATCTCGCAGCTTCTCGCTCTCACGACCGCTGAATAAGTGTAAAGCACATGTAAGGTTAGCTTTAAGAAACTTTGAGCTTTGCTTTAATGTTCGGAATTGTATAAAAATTAAAAATATAACACTATATGCTCGCAGTTAAATTGTTCACTAGTTTAGATTTGGTTTAAGAAAACATTTTCTTGGATTGTTGAAAATAAAATTAAAATACAAACTATATGTATATTGAAAATTATTATTAATTTGTTGTTGAAAACATTTCTTAAATTATTTAAAAATAAAATTAAAATACAAAACTATATATATAAGATATATACAATTCTATTTATAAGTGTCCACAATCTTTTCTGAATACAGAAACCTATTATTATGATTCCAGAGTCTAAGAAATAAGATCTTAAGTGACTTTTGTTGATTTTAAGTTTTTCTAAGGAAAGGTTTTATATATTTTTCATAGGTCCATACAAAAGAAAAATCAGTTTTCAAATACTTGTATAATGATTGTCTGTTTATATAGAGCGTAGAATTCGTTTTGGTGCTTTCATTTCCAATGCAAATTTTTCTGTTCTGAAAGCGGTCTGGAAGCTAGTTTATCATCAAATAGACTGCAGAATATATTTTAGAGTATTAAATAATAAAACTGATTTTCGTATAGCAATTTATTTTGAGCATATCCGACTCAATCCAACTAATTTGATTTTGGTTTTATAAAGTGTATGTTATGGTATTGATATAATGGTCTACATATCATGACTATAAAAATATTAACTAGCATTTCGTCTGTTAAGATCGTAGCGATTAATTTGTCGCGGCTGGTATATTGCTTATTCTAGTGCATCCAGATTTTTTATTGCCTTTTTAATTCTGTAATATCTTGTAGCTTGATTGTCTTGGAAGTGAGAGGTTTAGTTATAACGAATATTTTCTTTGATTTGTTACTTTATTGCTATGTACATAAAATAATATTTCAATTATAATTTTAGCGATTTTGTCGATTTTTCCTTGTATTATTTGTATTAACTTGTATTTGAAACATGGTCATTGTTGATAACATGATCCATAGTATTTGACATATTGGTGAGCCATAATTCAAATGAGACTTAAGCTTATACATATCTATTTTTTCCAAAGTCCAGATTTCCATTTTATTGACCAGAAGAATGGTTGACCAGTCGAGAATAGTATTGACCGGAAACAGCATTTCAGAAAATAAATTTGTTAGAAGATTTTGTAATTATCTTGAAGGGTTTGCTATATAATACACATATTAAGATCGGTAAGTAAATAATGACACCAACATTAGTTCCCATATAACACGGGCACTGCAATCTATAGATCTCTGGTACTCAATTTGTCGCTTAACGAACAAGTCGATAAAAGTCGACTAAAGTACTTTTACTCCATAGTGTCTGTGATCAATTGGTTGATGCACTGTAACAAGTGTTCCGGTGTTGAATTATGATAAAGAGTTCTTCAGGTGATTTACGGAAGTATAGTTTAAAACTCAGCACATCCTCTTAGCGATATATACATTGCATTTGTTTTAAGACAGCATAGCTCTGAATTAGTTTGCGTAATCACAGAATCAAACAATTTCAGCACTCTGTCTTTGATATACTTTTGCACATTCCCGATTTTCAAAACCTTGTATGTATCTTTATTTCTGATATAGCGTAGTGCTTTCAGCATACTTCTCAATACAATATTCTCATAAGTATGAAGGTTTCTACTGTGGGTGAAATATCGTTGCCATAAGACACACAACTACCTTCGTAGTAATTTATTAGTAAATATAACTATGTATAAAGTGTAGATATTTAAGTTTTTCATATAACCATTTACATATTAAGGCATTTATTTCACTCATTCGACAACTCTAAAGCGTATATGCAAAGTATTTCAATATTTGTTATTATTTTTATTACATATAAAGCTTATATAAAAAAATCTATTGCCTTGAAATATAAATAAAAATAGCAACAAACCATCCAACCGCACAATTTGGAGCCCAAGTTTATTCTTCAGTTGACACTGTAATGCTGGCTGCTGTGTCTCATCTTCAACGAAATATGCTTAGTCAACGTAACGTTAAGTGCCATAAAAATAATTCAAAATAAATTGCTTTACATAAAAATTGGCCAAAATGCTGGTAATAGACATTATTACGTTGGCTCATATTGGCTTTTTCAACCAACAACCAAACCAAAAATGTTTGAAATAAAAAAATTATTTATAAGGTGTATAATTTGGTAATAATAATGCGTATCATGAAAATTCATCTACGTTATTAATACTCGTATTATGCAGACGTAGTATTTCAAAATTTTGACTGCAGCGAGTGAAATTCATTCAACTCATAAATAACAACCAAATATAATAAAGCATACTTATGGGCGTCTGCCACAAAAAGTCTTCACTTTAAGCTCAAATATAAACACTTCAAACTGAATGAAACAACTTAATCATAAAATTTCGACAAAGTCATGTCAGCTGCTATAATCTCACCTTAATCCCTGCTAAATTGTACCTTTTTCTGTGGTTGCTGATAAGCAAAGTGGCGTAAGTCAATATTATAGATGAAGTTATTTTTATTTATTTATCTTTAGGATTCACCTTTCTGGGTCTTAAGATCCCGCACAAATAAGTGCTTTAAGAACTTTGGACGGAAAATTTAAATTAGGTAAGGAAAATATTTAATTCTTTTTCGCATTTGCAAATTTTGACAGATTAAGCAGTGCAAGGGAAAAATATGCTAATTTTATTTTCTTACAATAATCGCGTCTTTATGTCATGTAATTATGGTCATAATCAACTTGTACAGACGGACATTTACTTGTCGCATTATCGTTTATAAGAGTATCCATTTTTTTCTTATCCTGTCAGAGTAAAATGTTTATTATTGTGTAAATTGCTTTGATATGCTAATTTTATATTCACTTTATTGCGGTTACTTTTTATATTGTTTTTGCTTTTTGCCACATTATGTGCACATATACTTATAGATTAGGATCTTTAGAAAAACTTCCAAAGATTTAAACTTTTATATTAGAAAAAAGTTAAAAATTAAATTTTAAAAGTAACAATCATAATTATATCTTATTATGTATCTTAATGTATAAGTATTCAAATCGAATCAGAAGTTATTTCCAGACGTTGGTCGTTGTAGATTCTCGGATCAATGTGGTGTTTTTGAAGAGGAAGTGTAGTACTGAGCAATTATAAAGCAAATAAAATAGATCAAGAAACATCACTTTTTTTTCTCAGAATACAATTTTTGCGGGACAAATGCTTCATCATAAATGCATTCAATGTTTCCTGATCATATGCGGTGACTCTTAAGAACCTACGCTCATTTGTTAAGGGTCTCTACTACAGCAGCGATCATACCATTACTGGCCCGAATGAGCGCCTTTTGGTCTTAGCCAATTATTAAGTTTAATACAATTAAGTTTAATATTTTATTTATTAGTTTCGAGCCTCTATGATATGATGC